TACAGTATACAGATGATTGTGGCATTGTGCACATGAAACATATAATTTTGTTAACAAGTGCCATCCCAATAAATTCAATAAAAAGGTAAAAGTCAAAATAAAATAAATTGTATTAGGCATTTATTTGTTTGTTTATTTATCCTATTTCCTACAGTAAATGATAAACAAGTATCTCTCTGTTATTCACCACCATAAAGAGTTTGAACCAAAGAATGAATTAATAGGATTAAGACTAATCACAGTGTAAAACTTCACTATTGCTCTAGGGGGGATCATGTCTGAGATACCAGTTTGTAAAATAAAGACAATAACGTGCAAGAAGCCTAACCTGAGCAGCCCACTCCACACTGCTCCTCTCCCCTCTGGCTCCTGGTTGTACTTAGTGCCTGAACCTCTCATTCAACACTGATTTACAAATTGCTGATCCACTCCCTAGATCAGGGGTCCTCAAACTACGGCCCCCGGGCCACATGCAAATACAAATATTGTATTTGTTCCCATTTTGTTTTTTTACTTCAAAATAAGATATGTGCAGTGTGCATAGGAATTTGTTCATAGTTTTTTTTTTTTTAAACTATAGTCTGGCCCTCCAATGGTCTGAGAGACAGTGAACTGGCCCCCTGTTTAAAAAGTTTGAGGACCCCTGCCCTAGATTGTTGATGTTTTGGAAGGAGTATGTCTGTAGGTGTGAGTCTGGTCCCTCTTCCAAGTGTATTGAGGGGCATATGCACCTTTGTGTCCCTCCTAGAGGGCCTAACGAATGCCATTTGCATCATTGTCCCTCAATGAATTAATGAATTCGTGAATGAGTGAGTCAGTCAGTGACATGATAGATGGCATGATTGGACTATTATGGATGGATGGATGGATGGATGGTGGATGGAGAGAAAAAAGTGGGCATATTGATTGATGGGTGGATGATGTATAGATAGTGGTGAATGAATAGATAAATGATGGATGGGTGGACGGTGAATGCATGATGAGGTGATGGATGGATAGATGGATGAGTGGATGGATGGATGGATGGATGGACTGACAGATTTGATTTACTGTGTTTCAAAATCTCCAAAGTCATGGAGCAGAGGAAGCAGATTTGCTCTGTGGCCCCACAGGACAAAGTTAGGGTCCCTAGGCCAAAACGACAGGAAAGCTGTTTTCAGGTCATTATAAAATAGAAGCTTCCCGTCCCACAGATGTGCACATAGAAAGTAAGCACCCTCATTAGGGAACTGGAGCAGGCAAGAGTTTAGATTTTGGTTGGGGTTTGGGCTAAGAAACTATAGGATTCTAGCAGAATCAGAAGTGAACGCCCCCATCATCCGTGTTTGGTGAAGGCTCAGCCCTCAGTCTCTACCCTGAATCCTGGGTTTCTTTATGTTGATACCTCTCCTCAGACTAAGGACAGATTCAATGACAATTGAGCTAAAAATGTGACGACTTATTAGGTACACTTCTAAAAACAACCTGGGAGGTTGGGGTTGCTTCTCACTCTGCATCTGTCTGCTTCTACCACTTTGTCTTGGCTGCCTTATAGACAAGAATACTAAAATCCCAGGATCTTAAAAAAAAACAGAGATCAACTGTATAGCCTTGAATAAGTTATTACCCTCTCTGATCTTCAATGGCATCATATGGAAAATGGAGCTAATGATGCCTTCTTATAGGAGAATTAAATGAAAGAATTTCATAGTGCCTAGTGCAGTGCTGAGCACATTGAAAGCCCTCAATAAATGATAGTATTGGAATGGCTATTGGTTTTAGCACTGATGTCATTATTAAAATCCACATGTATATTTGTGTGCATATTACCATGGTATTATATATACTTTTAGTATTATATTATTACCATAGACTCATAAATCTAGGACCACAGATTCACAGACTGAAATAACAGATTATTAGAAACTGACCATCTCAGAAGTTTAGAACTTCAGAATTACCAAGCCTTGGAGCCATCGGTGATTCATTTCTGCAACTCCCAGAAAAGGCAGGACCTCTGAGGTCATGAGTGCAGCCACCCCAAGCTGCCTCTCTCAGGGCAGATGCCTCCCTCCAATGTCCTTCATCCCACATCTTCAGGCCAAAACACCCTCTGAGCCACCTTGGGGTGCCTGGCTGGACCCCGTGGCCTCGTGCTCCTGTTCTCAGACAACTCAGAATCCCAGGAATTTGCAGCCACATTGAGTGGGGGCTTGGGATTGGGCCCAGGGGATGATGAAATATGGAAGCTCCCAGAGTCGGGCCTGGTGGGGAAGGCCACATTTTCTGTGTCATGTTCTATTGCACGCCAATCAATTACAGTGTGCCCTATATAAACACATCATGAGGGCTTTGACAGGGGGCCGGGGTGAAGTTGGGTGTCAGGGTAAAACAGGGGATAATAAAATCACTGGAGATTTATTTCTCTAAATTGGAAACTTCATGCTTACACCTGACTAAATCATCAGGCTGAAATTGGAGCCGACTCCCACGGAAAACACATGTAACCTTATCCCATCTTTGTTTAACGGCGACCCATCAAGCCGCCTGATGGATTCTGCAGATGCGGCCAGCGTCCTCCTTTGGCTCCTTGGGTTCTGGGGTTCTCAATAAGATCTGTCTTCACTGTGCCCACCCTGCTCTCTGGTTGCTCTTCCAGGGCTGCCAAAGCAGCCTCTCCTACTGGCGGGTGTCCATGTGGATCTCCTGCCCCTTAGATAGCTTCCTTTGCACCAATGCCCAAAAGTACCCATTTCTATGCCCAAGATCCCACTACCTAAGATCCTCCTTTTCCATGAAGCCATTCTCCCTGAGGAGAGGAGAATGTTGAATAACAGGTGAGACAACTGTGACATCAAGGAAAGAGCTCAAGCCATGGCCAGTATTCTCAGTGGTTAGAGCCTTGGCCTCTTCACTGAAGAGTCGCAGGTTCAATTCCTGGTCAAGGGCATGTACCTGGGTTGGGGGTTTGCTCCCCACCCCCTGGTCAGGATGCATGCATGAGGCAACCAGTCAATGTGTCTCTCTCATATCAATGTATTTCTCTCTCCCTTCCCTCTTTCCACTCTCTCTGAAAAGCAATGGAAAAGAATATCCTCAGGTGAGGATTAACTAATAACCTATAATAATAAAAGCATAATATGCTAATTAGACCAGAAGTCCTTCCGGATGTCCTTCCAGTGGGGGCCAAGCCCCTTGCACAAATTTCATGCATTGGGCCTCTAGTAATAATAATAATAAGAGTTCAAAGCTAGACTTTGTCTGCCCTGGGTTCAAATCATGGTTCTGTGACAAAATCCCTTTATCTGTCTGGGTAAATTGATTATGCTACTTCCTTTGATCCTGTCTCTTCTCTAACAGAACTTTTATGAGTATTTGATGAGCTAATGGTTTAAAAGTGCTTTCCAACTTAGAAGTTGATGGTATATAGTCATATAGAATTTTCCTTGTGACTCATGAAGCCCTATATGTAGTACTGGGAGGCAGCATGAGTCACCCACCCCTGTGTTAGAAGTTTCCCCTTTACCAGGAGTGACCAGTGAGGGGTTCCAAAGAAGAATCAGAAAAGAATCTAATCTTAAACCCCTTCTGTGTGCTGGGCATTGGGTTAGTACAGCTCATACAATATTTCATGTGATCCCCACATCCTAATAAGAATTACACCCGCTCCAAAGATGATGAATCAGGGATCAGAGAGGTTATCTAACTTTCTCAAATCACACAGCTGGAATAGTAACCAGTATGTCAATCTAGATTTGTCTGACTCCAAAGTTCATTAAAATATATGACAAGTGCTCTGGGAACCCTGAGGGAGAAAAGGTGGGCAGTATGTTTCAGGGCTCAATATGGGCCCTCCTCCTCTCCCAGCCCCTCCCTTCAAGTCCATAAATTCTTACACAGAGACACAGTCACTGCAGTGCACACTGCAGGTGGTCAGTGGCTGGGAGGCTGCGGGCTAAGGCTCCCTGCTCAGAACAGGACTCCAGGCTCACACCTCCTCATGGCCCTTTGGGTGGAGCGAGGTGGGGAGAGCAGGAGGAGCCCCTGTGTGTCATTTTCGGCAGCAGTCAGCAGAGCCTTGCAAAGTGCAAGATGGCTTTTTTAGCCCAGCATAAGGATCTAGTTAAAAACCAATAAATCAGCAGTGAAATGTGCATAGCAGCCTTCTCCGCAAAATCAACATGGCTTGCTCCTCTGCAGGGAGCCCTCTTCCCACCAGGCTGAAGCCTGGAGCTCAGGCAGAGCCCTCCTCTGTCTCTCGGGGATCTTTGGGGACAGAAGTCTGTCCACATCCCCTGAGAAGGTGGGAGCCAACCAACCTGGGCCCTGCCTAGGAGGTGCCTACACTTGAGAAATCCTCTTTCTAGAAGCAGAGATCCAGAAACCTGTGAGCAGGGCCCAGACAGCCCTCACCTCCTCCACACCACTCGGCCCTGACTCAGAAAATCAAATTATGAGATCGATGAGCTGGGGCGTGGATGAGCCTGGAGAGTCCCAGGGCGGCTCCCCGGCACCAAATACAGAAAACCAACTGCAGACAGGGGCTCCGGACCCCCTTCCAAGTCCTGTCCGGGGAAGACACCGGACTGACCTCTGACAGCGCCGGTGACCCAGGGCCTCCCTGGGCCCAGGCCGCCCACCTCCACGGGGGGTGGGGATTTAGGGGGGCCCAGATCACCCTGAGGACGGTATTTAATATCTGTAAAACTGCCACTCAGGCAGCCAAGGTAAACAGCATCCCTGGCAGTTCAAAGGTGAGCGGGTTTTAAATGTTTCCCCTTCGCCTGAAAGGAATCCGTGCTGGGCCTGTGGCAGCGGCAGTCCCCGGGGAGGCCGGCCCCCCGTGCGCCGGCCCACGGCATCTGTGCACACAGAGGCTGCGTCTCCCACACAAATACTCAAAATTTCTCATTAAAACTTATGACTGTGTCAACAGCGCAGCCTGGGCCCCTAATCTGGAAAAGCCATTTCACCGCCCGCCCAGCCTGTCGCACGCGGGCCAGGCCCGGGCTGGCAACAGCTCCCCCGCCTCCTGGGCTCCAGGCCACCGGCTCCGCTGTTGGCTCCCGCGCGCCAGAGGCCGGCAACGCGGCGACACCTCCCGACGCCGGTCCGCAGCGGCTTTGGGCGCTGGCCGCAGGCGCCTCCGTTTCTCGGGCCTGGGAAAGAGCCGGGAGGGGAGGCTTCAGGGTCGTTCAATAACCCCGCCCCCAGCTGCACCCTCCAAACCCGTCCCCGGGGTTTCACTCTGCTCCTCTGGGAAGAGTTAGCTCCCACCCACCTGATGCCACAGCGGAGCTGGCGGGCTGGGGAGGAGCCCGGCCTGGGAGGCGTGGGCGCACCTGAGCCAGGGGTGCAGGGGAGAGGCAGGCTGCTCCGCAGAGACGGGGATGAACTCCGCTCTCAGTAGCTGTCCACATGCAGACTCCAGTGGAAGAGGAAAATCAGAGGACGATTCCACCCTGGAATCCCAGCTCTGGCGTTTATGGTGTTCCTCTCTCTTCCTCTTTGAAATGGGACAACAACAGAAAGTCACTACCTGGACCCACCTGCTCCATCCCTGGCGAACAGTAAGTACCCCTACACCGTAGTCACTGGTTAACCTGTATTTGTAAAGGTCCTCCTACCTAGAGCCATCAAAACAGTGGCAGCTGACGGGGAGACAGGCAAGCAGTGAGAAGGAAAGAGGCTGCAGGTTATGAAAGGGGACAGAGGGTGCTGAGTGAGTGCTGGAGGCAGAGATGGAAGACATTCCAGGCGAAGGAAGAGCCTGTGTAAAAGCCCTGAGGCAAAAGAGAGCCGGTGATCACTGGTAAAAGCACAGAAACAGAAATGAGGCTGAGGAAGAGGCGTTGGGAGAGTGTAAGTGCTTACATGGTAGGGGACTGCCAATGAGCACTTTCAGATTTGGTGTGTGTGTGTGTGTGTGTGTGCGCGCATGTGAGTTCACACTTAATGTACTAGTATGTGTATTTGAATATGCCCACAGATGTGCACCCACACATTTGCCTGTTTGAAATGTGAATGTCACCTGGTCAGTATTGCTCAGTGGTTAGAGCGTTGGCCTGTGCACCAAAGGATCCCGGGTTTGATTCCAGGTCAAGGGCATGACCCCAGTTTTAGGTTCCCTCCCTGCCCCTGGTGGGGTGTGTGTGGGAAGCAACCCGTCAATGTGTCTCTCTCACAATGATGTTTCTCTCTATCTCTCGCCCTCCCTCTCTTCCACTCTCTGAAAAGCAACGGAAAAAATATCCTCAGGTGAGGATTAACAACAAAATGTGAATATCTTCTTATATGTTAACTATAATTTTAAAAATAAAATTTAAAAATAACTAAATAAATAAAACAAAGACACAAAAGGTTAAAAATGTATATGTCCTTTAGGATGTGTGTACCTGTGCCTGGTTAAACATTTAGATATGAATACGAGTGTATTTGTGTGTGTCCCTCTATATGTAACTGTGCATCCAGGCTTGTGGTCTGAGGAAGGGCACACAGTAGTGTTTGTGTAGGCACTTGTACTTATTGATGCGAGTTTTTGTGTATGCACTTGTGCTTACCTTCTCTGGTATCTATATGTGGGAGCTGGTGTGGTCTGGGTCCTGAACACGCCCTAACCTCCCACTGGTACTCATCAGCCTGAGGCCACACAGACATTCTGTTTGTTCCCCTCCAGGGAAACAAGAAAAGCATATTGAGACTTCCCTCCAGAAAGCTGAAATTCGGGCACCCACCATTCTCACCCCACCACCTACCTAAGTCAAGGTCTGCGGGGACACTGCCATGTGGAAAGCAAGGAGAACTCAGCACTGGGCATGGGAACTGCTGCCCCAGCCCAGCCCAGCTGTGTTGATGAGCTGTGTGACCTGGGACAAGTCACTTTGCCTCCCTGAGCAGGAGAAAATAAAGACCAGGCTCCCTGGCCCTGGCCGGGTAGCTCAGTTGGTTAGAGTATCATCCTGATACGCCAAGGCTATGGGTTGGATCCCCAGTCAGGGCACATACAAGAGGCAATCAACGAATGCATGAATGACTGGAACAACAAATCAATGTCTCTCTCTCTCTCTCTCTCTCTCTCTCTCTCTCTCTCTCTCTCTCTCTCTCTCTCTCTCTCCCTCTCTCCCTCTCTTCCTCCCTCTCTGCCTCTCTCTCTCTCTCCCCTTTCCTTTCTCTAAAATAAATAAATAAAATTTTAAAAATATAAATAAAGACCATGTTCCTTGACTCCTATATCTTTGGCTGAAATTGAACACACACAGGAATGTGGCGAGATGGTGACTGGGATCCCTCCATGTTTCCCACTGGGTTAGCACCTTAAAAGAACAGAAAGAAAGAATCCTCAGAAAAGCCTCATGAAGTTCAAAGGGTCCAGCACACATGTTGCTTCCAAAAGGGCAAGAATTTTGCCTTTATCACCTCTGTCTTCCCTACCCAGAACAGTACCCAGTGCATAGTGGGTGCTCAATAAATATTTGTTGAATTGATAAATTTGTTCATTGAGCTATTTGCTCATTTATTCACTCAAAAAGAATCCCCAACCCTTGTTCTGTGACAGGCCTTACTCGTCCCCACCATAAAAGAAGGAACTGTCTTGCATAACTTCACTAAAAACCCTGGAGAAATCAGCACTACCTTAAATCCATGATCGCCCGCCTCCATCAAGATTCAAAGTGCCAGGAAAAGCAACTGTTTTCCTGCTCCGTCTCCTCCCCACAGTGGCTGTTCAAATCTTCCCCTGTGTCCTCAGAACCTCCAACCTCTCTCTTCCTCCCCCTGCCCTCTCCACAGGTGACCTCTGCATGGAGAAGGCAAAAGCCAGCAACTCACAGTCACAAAACCTGTGTATTTACCTGTGCTTCTTCAAAGCTCACCTCCTTCCTTCCTATTGGAATGACAACCGGGATCTCTCTTCCACGGGAAGCCAAGCACCTCCCCTCACCGCTGGAGATGGCTCACCCTGCTGACTCCCTCCTCTCTCCCATACTTTCCTTGTACCTCCAGGTCTCTCAAACTGACCCTGCTGAGCCGTTCAAGAAGGTAACAAATTCTAACTAAGATAATATGACCAGCAGTTTTAAAAGTAAAATAGTCTCTCGGCCTTCTGTATTTCCTCTTTTGAAAAGTGTCTATTTAAGTCCTTTGCCCATTTTTTGATTGGATTGTTTATCTTCCTTTTGTTAAGTTGTATGAGTTCTCTGTAATGTTGGAGATTAAATGCTTATCGGAGATAGCATTGGCAAATGTGTTCTCCCATGAAGTGGGCTTTCTTGTTGTTTTGTCGATGGTTTCCTTTGCTGTGGAGAAGCTTTTTATTTTGATGTAGCCCCACTTGTTTGTTTTCTCCTTAGTCTCCATTGCCGTAGGAGCTGTGTCAGTAATGATAATGCTGCGACATATGTCTGCTATTTTGCTGCCTATGGAAAACATGCTCAAAGTCACTAATCATCCAAGAGATGCAAATCAAAACAATGCGGTACCATCACACACCTGTCAGAATGGCTATTATCCACAACTGTAGTACATCTACACAATGGAATAGTATGCTGCTATAAAAAAGAAGGAACTTTTACTATTTGCAACAGCATGGATGGAACTAGAGAGCATTGTACTAAGTGAAATAAGCCAGCTGGAGAAAGATAAATATCATATGATCTCACTCATTTGTGGAATATAATGATCAACATAAACTAATGAACAAAAATAGATCCAGAGACGAATGGCAGGGGAAGTGGGGTAGTTAGAGATTAACCAAAGGACTTGTACGCATGCATATTAGCATAACCAATGGACATAGACACTGAAGCAGTAGGGGCTTGCCCTCGGGGGCGAGTAGGAATGGCTGAGGGCAGTCAATGTGTGTGGGGGCGGGGAGACATATGTAAAACTTTAGACAATTAAAAAAAAAAAGTAAGCCCTAACTGGTTTGGCTCAGTGGATAGAGCATTGGCCTGCAGGCTCAAGGGTCCCAGGTTCGATTCTGGTCAAGGGCATGTACCTTGATTGCAGCCACATACCCAGTGGGGAGTGTGCAGAAGGCAGCTGATTGATGTTTCTCTCTCATCGATGTTTCTAACTCTCTATCCCTCTTCCTTCCTCTCTGTAAAAAATCAATAAAATATATTTTTTTAAAAAAGTAAAATGGTCTCTAGCCAGTTGCTCAGTGGTTAGAGCACCGGCCTGCAGACTAAAAGTCTTGGGTTCAATTCCAATCAAGGGCACATACCTCAGGACCTCCAGGACGGAGGCAGGGAACTTGGACTGAGATCTGTTCTGTGTACCAAATAAACAATAAATAGCAGTCAGTAAACAGTAGCTGTTGGGCTGTCATTTCTATCCAGCACTCAGTAAATGCTGTGGTTTGATACCAGCTGACCTCGCCCCAGACTGCCCGCTGGGGCCAGGGCCAAAGCAATGGTAGCTGGACGATTCCCACACTTTCCCAGCTATGCCATCCTCTTTCTCTCCTTTGTCTACCATCAGCGGGAGGTAAGTCATTACGGAGAATATTTTGGGTGCCAGAGCATTTCAGAGCCCCGTGTACATTACCTGGGAAAGAGGGGGTGCTTTATAAGAGCCCCTTCCATGAACATGAATCTCTCATGTGTAAGCTCAATCCCCGGCCCCAGTTGGAGCATATGCAGGAGGCAACCAATCAGTGTGTCTCACATGGATGTTTCTCTCTCTGTGTCTCCCTCTCCCTTCCACTCTCTCTAAAAATCAATGAGAAAAAATATATCCTTAGGTGAAGATTAACAAAAAAGTAAAATAGGAGAGGAAATATCAGCGTGTGTCAGACCCTTTAGTAAAGGTACTTGATGTTTTTGTTCCATGTCCATCTGTGTTTGTCCCGGGTCTGGAGGGAAATGTAGGTCTGACTGTGGACCGCAGTGGGAAAGGCGCCCTCTACCTCTTTTCCTACCGCCTCCTTCTATTCAGCCATTAAACATCCTTAATCTCACAGCCTCTCCCTTAAACCCACATTCTCCTCCAATTACTGCACCCATTCTGTCCGACCACCCCCAAATCTCTTCACAACCAGTCTTATTCATCGAGTTGTCTGCACTAAATATCTACACAAACTCACCTCCCATTCAGTGCAAACCAGCTCTCCTGCTGGAACCTCCAGTAGCCCGCCCACTGCAGCTGCTAAATCCAGGGAACGCTCTGCGCTCTGCCCAAGGCTCTCAGAGCACCGTTTCCTTGTTTCCTTCGCTCCGCCCTCCTCTTCTCCTGGTTTGCTTCCTCCCTCCGTGGCCTGCCTTCTTCATCTCCTCTGCGGGCTCTCCTGCTCAGGCCCAGATCTTCA